ATGCATTTCTTATTTATGTTTATATGTGTAGTTTCTTTGTAATTGATGAAGGAATTTAAGGGGATATTATTAATTTTGGGTGATGGTATAGTAGCATGGTATAGACTCTTTTATTTTGGGGTGTCAAAGCAAAATCATGAATCATTTGATTGAAGTAAGGTAACATCGAGGAAAAGATAATCATTATGTTTCTGTATCATAGGAATCTGTTAAAGTTTGCTGAATAGTGAAAGATTTTGGAATTGGTTTTTGGGGTGTTAGGAACTTTGTTGATTTTGTTTATTTGTTATGTGGTTTACTTTGTTTTTAGCTCGGCTTTGAATTTTGAGACAAATGAGCACGTGGCGATAAAAAAGATTGCAAATGCATTTGATAACAAAATCGATGCAAAGCGAACACTTCGTGAGATAAAGCTGCTTCGACACCTGGATCATGAAAACGTCAGTGAGTGTAAATTGCTTATCCATTGCTTCTTATAAGCTATCAACAACCAAAAAGAGCTATAAATTTCCTCTCTTATTATTATTATTTTTTTCGTTTATTCATGTTAAAAGTTTGATGGCATTATTATACGAGTAGCATCATTCCATGTTAGTTTTGAGTTCATTGTTATACTTGGGGATTGTATAGTAACTCTAGTTTTATTTATAAGTTGTTCTTATATAGCCTTTGTTTACGAAGACTGCTTATGCATTTGTGTTACTGTTTCTTAGGAGATTTAAACTGTCCATAATTCAATCTTTTTTTTCTATAATTAAAATAGAGAATGTGCATTGTGAAGCATAACTGATGATGTAGAATTATTTCCATAATCCATGTGTATTTTGTAACGTTGCTCCATAGGAACCTTATGAAGAAGACATTAGTTGAGATTTTTTTAGGTAACCTTTTGGTTTGCTAGGCCCAGTTTTGCTGTTTGGGCTGATAATTGATAATACTATGATATAGTCTTGTAGCAAATTAGTGAAATTTTTGTAATGTTATTAGTCAGAAATTTGATATTATGAGTGATAACCAAGCTATGTTGTAATGCAATACATGGTAAATTCACTAAATCTATTGGTGGTTATAGCATCGTAGAAGCTCTGTTCAGTTATTAATAATACCACATAAAGTTGATGATATATTTGGTTTTGGTTATAACTTCTTAATAAGACGTGGTTATTGCCTATTTTGTTAGGCTTGATGTGTAGTTGTGTTGCCTGTGGTTATCCATAGTTTTTGGATATGCGTGCAGTGAAGTCATACATACAAAAACAAAAACAAAAACAAAAACAAAACAAACAGACAGAGAGGGAAGATGCAGGAAGCTACGCTATTGCCTTAAGAAAATGAAATCAATTCAGTTTCTGGTTCAATTTCATGCAGGAAGTTGCAATCAGAGATATAATACCACCACCACAGAGGGGAGCTTTATATGAGCTCATGGCTACTGACTTGCATCAGATAATTCGATCAAATCGAGCTTTATCAGAAGAGCACTGTCAGGTCAGACACGCGGATTGATTGCATTAATTTAGTTGCACTCTTTTGTCTTGCTTTGCTAGCTGATACCATCAGATTTGTGCTATTACTTTTCTAGAGAAGCTCGTCTCAGATTTATGCTATATTCCTTAATAGTTTTTTATTTTTTTTAATGCCCATATCCATCAGGTGTAATATCAAATTAACCACTTTTTATTGTGCTTTGCAGTATTTCAAATGCGTCTTTCCTCTGATAGGAACAATCGTAAGAATCATGAAACTAGACCTTTGATTGTTAGTTTGTCGTAGAGGCATTGAGTGCATGGCTCCTGCAAAAGTACATGCATCAAATTAGTGCAAAACCTAGTTCTCAGCTCCGGGAGAAATGGGGTCTCTCAACCATTCTAACAAACCTTCCTCTCCATCAAAATTGAATATTGTGACAAATCCTAAAGCCTATGAGATGCGGGAGTTGCTGCAAAAAGACTCTTTTTCTTCTACTGCATACATCCGAACAGACCAAAAGGAAACATGTAATTGGAAAGTTACATTAAAGAGTGCGCTGCTGATCACTATATGATCAGAAATTAAACTGCCATAAAAGAAAATATTGGCTGCAATTATGTCATTGTGCTGCAAAACTCCATTTCAACTATCCTAGTCGTGTCGTAAAGACATTTTAACTGGTAACTTGACTACAGTTAACATAAAGCAAATATGTAAAAGAAGC